GTTTTGCATGCCCTGCTTAAGCGTGGCTTCGACTTGAAATGCTTGGAATGCTGACCCATTAGATCCATTGACGCCTGTAGCCGCGGATCTACCTGTGCAGCTGAGTTAGTTTGACATCACGAGCCTCGTTAAGCAATCCGGGTCGTATACAGTGACGTGTTCATTCTGTTGTGCACCTTACACGGCACCGCAGCAAGCGCATATGCACGCCCACCGAGACCAACTTTCCTTGGGCGCGGCACCACTGCTGCGAAAACGGCGCATTCATGACTACGCTGCTCATCCAGGTTAGATATTTCGCGAATGCTTCATGTTGCAAGAAACAGTGACTACGGCCTTGTTGCGTTGTCGAGACCACCTGAACTTTCAGTGCTATGAAAAGAGCGTTTGGCTGTCAAATGTGGACTCGACGTACTTCGGGTTGGCGACGTTGAGCTGAATCTCGGGCCTAGCGCCAAAATGTAAAATATGTGGAGTAGTTTTTTTTTTGTCAACTGCACAGTGCACAGAAGCTGGATCGAAGAGCATATCGGATAGGGTGTAAGCACTCGAAGGTAATGTTGGTTCTCCTTTATTTTAGCCCAAGTGGGGTACCCGATGCAGTGCGTCGAATTGAAGCTGCTCAAACTGGATTACTTGAGGGCGTCGGAGGCACAAAATAAGGTCATATAATTGCAAACGCTGAAGCTTCTTGCAGAAAGAGCTCGCAGTTGGATTTCAATACCACAAATGCCGCTTCATCCAGTTCCGCTACGTATGCATGTCAAGGAAACTCATGGAAATCACGTACAGACGTGGCAACACAGAAACTCAGACGCTGTAACTTGCTATTTTTTTTTTGGAATGGAAGATGATGAAAACGAGAACTTGAATACATCTGAGCAAAAGGGAATGAAATTTCGCTCTGAAAAAAACGAGTTCACATACTTGGTCGTTTTGCTGCTATCAAGCACCGGCCCATAATGGCAAAATGTGTTCTTTTTAAAGGTAAAGAGGGCGTTCTCGCTTCAGCGTAAACGAATACACATTCTCAGTGCGGGAAGACCTCCCTTTACCTACATTACAAGCCAGAATAAAGCTTATCGAATTCACCAAAAAATAAAAAGAAGTCCTACAAGCCAGTCGCCGATCGTCTGCGCATGAGCGATAAAACTTGCATCTGCGATAGCGCTACTAACGCAGTGAAGCTGTCCGCTAGATAGCAGAGGCACAAGCTTGTGAATGTCGCTAAAGAATTACCAAGTAAATATGTATCGGCTGTGTCTGTTTCCTTTACTAACATTCGAAGCTTACTGCCTGAGCGTAATCTCATCTAATCGTTTCTGGAAGACAGCCTTTCTGATGTCCTGTTCACTGAAACATTGCTTACTCGGAATGTTGGCGACAGTAAGATTTCCCATGGGATTACGACTTATAATGTTCTTCGGTGTGATCTTCAAATAAATCGCAGGGGAGGTGTTCTCATTGCTATAAAGAATTGAAACCTGTTTTTGCCATCAATACAAATTGGAACTTGAAAATTGTCTGAGTGACGTGAACAAATTCTACGACAAAAATGCTGGTGGGCGTATGTTACCGCCCTTCCGATTCTGAACAGTCATTTATAGATCATCTTCGTAGCAGCACCGCTTTAGCTATTGAGAAATGCCGCACTAATAATGTATATTTGTTTGGGCATTTCAACTTGCCACAACTTGACTGGAATAATTATTCATCCGTACCCCAAATGTCTGTAGACTTTGTGATTCTCGCCCTAGATTTTAATTTCTCTCGAGTAATCAACCAGCCAGCACGGGGCAATAATATTATAGATTTATTACTTACCAGGGATCCCGATAATATAGGGGAAATCTCGTGCCTTATTTTCAGTGAGCATAACCTTTTTATTCTAGTGACGAACACTCCTCTCAAAGTCTAGGGTAAAACCAAAAGAAGTCATAAAGACTACAGTAAGGCCAATTACAGTGGCATGAGTTCTGAGTTGAAAGAATTCTATAACTACACATTCTTGTCGTCATTGTTAAGTCATGCCGTCGGTGAAAATTGTTCATTGTAGATAAGAATACTTTAGCAATAGACAAATACGTACCTGAAGTTTCCACATCTAATGACAACAAACATTTCCGAACCATGAGAAATAAAAAAAAAACGACTGCACAGGACCGCGGTGCGTGCTTCTCGTACCTCTGCTTGGAATGTATACAGAATCTTTTAAAAATTACAGTTCTACGTTATTCACTGCAAAAAAAAAAAGCATTTTAAACATGACCTACTTTCATTATCAAAATGCAATCCCAGAAAATTTTGGCAACGATTATCACCAGCTTCTGCTGTTCCAGATATTACTTTGAAGGGCAAAATCTCCTCGCCAAGAGATCAGTGAGCAAGTGCATTTAATAAGTTGTTTTCTTCCGTCTTCCCACGGGAAGATTATTTTAGTGTTCCTGACTTTTCGAAACTTGATTGCCCCTGCATGGCACCCGTAGATATTAACGTTTAGGACATCACCGAACTAATCAACAGCCTTAAAATTTCTGCTTCTAGTGGCTTTGACAATATCTATTCAGAGATACTAAAATTACGATTTCCCAGTCCTCCCAGATATTTCACATCTTTAGACATTATTTGCCCACTGTTCAGCTTCGCAGTGACGGGAAAATTGCAAAACTTATTCCTCTATTTAAAAACAGGTGTAAATACCAAGTTGAAAATTATCGTCCCATCTCGTATTCTCGATCAACTGGTAATTACTTGAACATAATATTTCGTCTCACATTTACAATCATCTTGAATTAAACATTCCTAAAGCTGCACCCAGTATGGCTTCAGGAAAGGTTTCTCTTGCGATACGCAACTATTACAATTCACGACAGACCTACACACTGACTTGGACATAAACACACAGGCAGATTATGTTTTTTTATATAGTTTTCAAAAATTTTTGACCGTGTCACTCATTGTTGTCTAATTTACAAACTTTCTGCCCTCAAATTAGACTATTCAACGCTATCATGGCTCTGGAATTTTCTTTCATTTCGTGAACAGCTCACATTCGCAAATGACATTCATTCACATCTCGCAGAAGTCAGTTCGGGTGTACCCCAGAATAGCACCCTTGGCCATCTATTCCTAATCTTTACTACCGATCTGCCGACTAGCAGTTCATCTTACATACACCTTTCCACAGATGACTGTGTCATTTATCGAGCTAAAACATTTTCCGCTGATCATGTTGCCCTTCAGAGTGACCTACACTTCGTTAGCAGTTGGTGTACTAAGTGGTTAATGAGTTTGAACACAAAAAAAATGCTAGTAATGGCCGTTTTTTTCAAACAACTAGATTTACGCTTTTTTATACAAAATTAACAATAGCGAGGTATCTCGAACCAACTCATACAAATATTTATGGGTTACGATTGACTCGACGCTTTCATGGTCCGCCCACATAACTTCCATTTGTTCCATAGAATCTGAAACTCTTTGTTACTTGAGTCGAAATCACCACTCCACGCTGAGTGTTCGCAAACTAGCTTATTCGAAAATATCTACGCCCACAGTTGGAATATGCCTCACCATTTTGTTCCCCTCATCAATTCTATTTAACACAGATCATCGAAGTCATTCGAAACAGAGCAGCCCGTTTCATCTCTCAGAACTTCCAACGTCATAGCAGTGCTTCACAAATCAAACGCAATATTGATTTACAGTCCTTCGTAATCCACCGTAAGATGGCCATTCTTGCGTTGTTCCCCAAGTACAGCCATTACATGAAGACATCTCATTTCCTACTGCACAGACCGGATGGCAAGCCAGCACGCATGAAAAATCAACACTGCAGCTTTATGCTTCTTTTTGGCAGAACAAGTGCGTTCAACCTATAGCTATTTTGCCACAGGCAATCTCACTGTGTAATGACATTCCCGATGTGATAGTTTCAGTGACAAGCAACAAGGGGTTCCGCGAGCAACTACACTCACTACACCTAGCATCACTTCATAGCCATTTACATACATGTGCATTCAATTGGTGACGACATTTTCTTTGTAATCATTGTTTTTGTTATCAGCGCCACCGTTAAGTTGTATCCCCTCTGTATAGTTCAACTGTATACGTTCTCATTGTTCTTTTGTATATTTTCCCCCTGTATATGCTCCCTTAGATTATTCTGTCAGAAGAGCCTGTAAGGTATGTTAAAAAATGATATTGGCATTCTCCCAAGATTCTGGTACCCTCGCCATCAAGAGATACTGTGCTAGAATATTAGGTTAAAATGGTTTGTAACAAGCATTATGTAGTTAAGGTTCACATGTTGTCTACGATCGGAAGAGGTTCCGCCGATCAGATGACTCGGTCAAAACAGTGCACCTCCTCCTCTTAAAGCAGTGCATTAGTACAGAGCTTAAACCGACCGCTTTTCATTTTAACGTCAAGCAGACAGACGCTGAGAGCTTTGATGCGCACACGACTACGTCAGCATGCAATAAGTTTCCAGATGTTTCTACATGTCCCCATAAGAATCAAACAGAAAAGAAATTGATTCGGTCGCTGTGTTTTCGGGCAGGCGTGCCTTGATTTTTTGGAAAGAGAAACAATCATTGGTCTATTTTTGTCGTGGTGGCGTCGCCACTATAGATGACCGTCAGTCTTCCGGCCACGGCGACGTCAGCCTCAGGGCAACTGGGAAACGCCAATTGTCTACCATTTATTTCGCAAGCAAATAGTAGAGTGGATACACCCATATAAAGTGAGTTACCCATGCTCAGCGCGCCTTTCCTTTGTGAGAAATCATGGTGTGATATTTCATTAGACAGTGCTAGCGCGATCTGTGACATCCTGTGCAGGTTAGATATGCCAAGCTACAACTAGTGCGCTATCCCAACCTGCAGCACATTCACCTCCGTCGGCCAGTAAAACGCGTCGCTTTGGGAATCATGAGGTTGAACAACGCACAGTCGCGGTCCAAGCGAGAGGTTGCCAAGATAGGCGGAGTGTTGTCGTACCGTCAGGTGGGAGGTCCGGCGGTACCATGACGTCCCTGTGATGCGGAAGTACCCGGCGGAAGGCGCTCACACCGCTATCACTGGCGCCTTGATTACAACCTAAGTCGAGACCAGCCAAAAGACGAGCCGATGCGAACAGCGACGAGGACGTCGAAGGAGGCGTGTCGACGGCAGCCGCCATTGGCACCGGTGGCATGTACAGAGGGGGCCTGCGGGAACAAATGGAAGGGCTCATTTTTTTTCTGGAAGACTTCGAGGCATAACGAGTCACCCTGGAAAGACGAGTGCCGACACCTTAGGAGGCTATGTTCTGTCCTATATGGTTTTTAATATCCCAGGTTATAAGGAAGAAGCAGCTGCATAACAGGTGCAGCACCAAGTATAGATCGGCAAAGACGGTGCCCTCTTCATTGGTACCAGAGGAAAGCATTAAAGTAGAGAAAAACATGCTTCCGACAGGCATCCGGTGGTGAACAAGTACGCGCGTTCTTGTTCATCGTCAGAATCATAATAGACCCTTGTCTTACACATCATATAGATGAAACAATATTATGACATCATGCAGTACGCATACTTCAACGTATGCCCACACACATACATACTGTATAGTTTGCTCAAGGCAGGAAGATAGCCGGCAGTGAAAGAAAAAAAAAGGTAACGGTTGACCATGTATGATCATATAATTAAATGCGTGACCTAAAACATCTATGCAAGAGCAAATGAACTTGGCGGAAAAACTAAAGAATTACTAATCGCAAGGATGCATGTTCTAATCGTTTAGGAGAAATTACAGAGCGATTCGGGAAAGACAATAATTCGTTTAGCAGTGACACAAACTAGAACCGATGTGGTTGTATACATTCCTGACTGCAATATAGGTAAGCACAACCGTGCTTACGATCACAGTTTCGAAGACAGTCCGTTAGCGCCAAGCAGGCTTACAAAAAAAATTGTTGGTGGAAATGATGACTATAGACTAAAGCCATACGCCCGTACCCCATAAAAGATGGCGGTCGCAGCCACCGCGTTAATAGGAGCACAATAAAATGTTGGCGTTCAGTGCAGAAAAGAAGTTTTCCTCTCCCGGTTTATATACGAGTTAAATATGAAACAATGTTTCTGACAGCTGCTGTTCAAGCTGTCTCTTAGTGTTAATTTTATTGGAGATCAAACCATCGACGCTCATAGAGATGTTACTTTCGCGGGGAACATGTATCTTTCATTAAGACGAAAGATTATATGCCTCGCCGAACATGATAATTTATCTTGCAGATTGACCGTCGGCAACCGGCGTCGACGGTGTGAGCATGATTGATGCGAAGAATTCGTCATTAAGTGATTACGTCACATGGCGTCACAAATCGCCGACATTTGTGACGTCTTCGTGACATCACATAACGGTACGTCACACGATGACGCCATCGCATTACGCCGTCGCTTGATCAAATGTTGAACGTTCACGGAGGCCGGACAAAGTCAGGTGACGTACAGAAGCGATACCTCCCATTAATAATGTGGGCATTTCGAAACTACGTTAAGTGCAGAAAGCTTTCGCGAGGGGGCGGGGGTGGACTGATACGTCTGGAGTTACTGTATATGCTACTTTCTGGTTACCTAAAGGTAGCATATACAGTAACTCTACATACATCGGCTGAGAAGAAAAAGAAGATACTTTCGTCTTCCAGTCGCCTTAGCTGAATTAGCACAAGAGCCCTGTCCGTTCTTTTATATAGTTAATCTAGCATTTACTATTACGAAGTAAAACAAGTCTATGCGGAAACGACGCGACAATAGTATGTTCCTGAGAATAACCGCGGGGGGGGGGGGGGGGGGGGGGGGGGGGCAGGCGTCTTGAGAGTCTCCTCTCCGGAATCGGTTAACCTTGCGGGTTGGCGCCTCTTTACCTTAGCAGCATCGAACCAGTCGTTGGCACTGCAACCGAAGCGGCCTCCTGCGCCCCGCAGGGTGACGTGGTCGTAGCACTCGTTCCAGTCGGCAGTGTGATGGGTGGCAGCTGGGTGCCCCCTCCGTTGATGGAAAGGAGCTGATGTATCCTGGCCGAAACGCCTCGGTTGGCAGCCGGAGGACGAGCAGCACGAGTGGTCGGGGCCGCGCCGGGACCGCCGCCTTCGACGTTGGCTCTGTTCTTGTTTTTGTTCTTGCGAGGACCGCGTTCCTCCTGAACGGCTGCGTTTCAATGGGTTGAAGAGATGAAACCTGAAGGCATTCACGTGCATACACCGGAGTTCCGCACGTAAAATTTCTGAAACGTCTCTGGCCAACTCTATAAAAGCTAACGTGGTTTTGGATTAGTTGGTTATATGCGTGCAAATGTGGCATAGCGCTAACACACATGGAGGACGAAGAGACACCAGAACAAGCAGTTGTCCTGTTGTCTCTTCTTCGTCCGCGTGTGTCCACACTATGTCACAATTTTCTGGCACACAAAAATTGTGTTGATTATGGGGGTAAAAAAGCCACATGACTGGGTAGTGCATAGGTCTCATAATCATATCTTTAGAGCAGAACTGCCTACGCAGATCGCGCCCGCCAACATAAAGGCGCGTGTAATAACAGTGTTCGGTGACGCTGGCTTCTCGCCACAGGTATATGTTTCGCTCCTGTGGATCCCTCTTTCACAAGTGTCGCGATACTGGGTGGTAGCACGTGCCACCACTCGTTGAGCCCCTTTTGTCTCGTGACGTAGATCGCGATAGCGCTGTTATCAGTGGTTGCCCTGCGGGCTAGCTATGTTAAGCACGCTTGTCGCTCGCTCGGAGAAAAAAGAGCGCGAAAAAACGACGTAAAGCCGCGGCCGCTGTCTTCACCACCGCTTCCATGTTCACAACAGTAGAAGAGCTTTCGCACTTTAGCACAACCTCCTGGATTATTTAAAAAACAGAATTTAAGCTCCGTTAACAATACATCATGCAGACACCACGTTTTCCTCATCGTTTGTGTTGTCAGTATTTAGTTCATATATATGTACATAGTGACTGAACTGTCAACTTTTGAACAGCCAAGCTGTTAAGCAATACTTTCATTGTTTACCCAGTAAGAAAAAGCTATCAACATCATAAACGGGTATGTGCCACAGAAATTGGCTAAATTCGGCTACTTTGCGCTGGCGCATTGAAAATATGGAGTGCGTACTAACTCCGCGCAGGAAGAGAGGTCTTGTCACAGTGCAGGGCTCCAGAGTTGCGAGGCACTTTATTCGCATTAATTGAATTCACAAGGCACTCTTACCTGGAAAGAAGAGTATTTCCTCCACCACGCAAAAAGCTCACTATAGAGCACGGGCGATTACCCTAAAGATGCTACAAAGTAATCCTTACCCGAATCTCGCTTTCAAGGGACTTGTGAATTCATTGGCGCCAGTGCGAAGGCGCTTGAAGTGCACTCGCTATCGGGGGACTGTGGCATTTAGAGCATATGCTTTGGCAGTGCCCCCTGTTACGTGGGATAAAGACTTCACAGGAAAGAAATAAAGCTCGGAACTTAAGAGCACGAAATATCGGCATCAAATCTGGGCTGTCCAGAGAACCTGCGATGCGGCAGTTAGTCTAGGTCTATCTGTGTCTACGTAGCAGACCGCGGTGTCGCCCAATGGGGTGACATTTATCGAAATTTTTTAATAAAGTTATTCGTACCGTACCGAAAGGTGACAGCTATGTGCCACAAAAACTTGTGGGGCGTACCAAGAAAGTATGGTCATCATGAACGAGTATGTGCCACAGATATTGGGTAAATAAATCCTGCTACACACAGCTTTTAGTAAAAGAGAAGAAGACGAGAATTAGCCAAACAACTGGTTGCGAAGTGACAGTGGTGAGCAGAAGACCACATGTACGTACAACGAGAGGACGCTATAGGGAACGGGAAAGACAACGCCGGCTGCGAGGAGACTTAAAAGGCTTGCGCCATATGACGACGTGCCCGCGTCGCGTATGTGACTCTGCGTGACTCAACTCGAAACTCTCTGCGCTAAGAATTCACTTCTCGAGACAACCTAGCGGCATCTAGGTACAGCCTAGCAACAACCCGTAAAAGCAACCTAGAGACAACCCGCATCACCTAGTGAAGGCCTAGAAGCAACCTATACGCAGAGTTGTCCAGTTTTGATGGTTGAAGGCTTGCGTGGCTCTGTGCGAGCTTCGACATTTTTTTTTTTTTTTTGAGGTTGTAAAGGTGGCGTTTTGTATGGAAGCAACTGTTACGAGCATTGGCGTCAGCAGGATTTTCTCTTGGTAGGTACACACCCGTATTGCACCATGGTGGGGAAGAGGGGGTGCTTTTGTGGCTTTTTTGCATTTGCACCCTTCTCCCCTGGGCGGGCAAGTGCCTCTATTGCACCTTTCCTCCAACCTGTCGGCTGCCGAGGCCCATGGTTGCGATCTCAAGTGCGAGCAAAAATTCAATAAAAAATCTATTGGAACTGGCTCTCAAATTGGAAGGCGACGTTTGGTATGCAGAAGGTGACTTGATATATCTAAAACGTTCGTGGCATAAACCTGCTTTGTCGCGTTATAAATATTAAAAAAAACGGTGAAGGGGGCCAAACACCAAATATTTCAACGCACAGCAGTGGGAGACCTCGCCGCTTAGCTCAAACATCCAGAACCAGCTACAAGTGATCAGGCATGCAAGCCAAAGATGCCGCTAGGGCCCAAGGACTCTTAGCTGCCATCTATGGGAGAGGATATAATTCCTCTGAAGCTTGCCGTTTTGATTAAATTTGTTGCTCTCTCTCTCTCTCTCTCTCTCTCTCTCTAGTTATTACAATTTAAAACTAACATTTTGTTGAGTTTGTTCGCTTAATGATTTTGACAGGTAACAGAAGAAATTGAAAGTGTTTACACATCCGATTGTTAGAAGCCGCAAAGTGACCAAATGATTTTATTCGAGCGGAAAGAAAGTATTCATGGTACAGTAAGCAGATGACGTGTTTGTTGGCGCTCATGTTTCTGACGCGCGCTCGACTGCAGCGGCATCTACCCGAGTCAGACAACTGAGACATCTAAGGCTTAAAAAAAAGGGGGGGGGGGGGGTAGTAGCTATATGCAGCCAATAATAAACCCATTGCCACAACCGCGCCCCTGGTGTAGTGGTACCATGTAAGATTCCCTTTTTTGCTACCCGAGTTTGATTCCCGGATGGCGCATCGGTTCTTTCTATTTTCGTTTTTTTTTTTTTGGATGGGGCCGAGAACGTTGAACTAAAATGATTTCTAACAACCATTAAGTATTTGATATGCACAAATTGACGATGACTGAAAGCTGTCTTGCCAGTCGGAAGCGCTTTTGCCAAAACAGTGCGCTTCTTCCCGTTGTGACAAGGCGGAGCAACAAAACCTCGAACACGAGCTTTTTTTTTTTTCAGTGGCATAAGCGAGGAGTGACACCCTTGTTTCTCTTCCGAGTGCTTCCTGTCCAGCCCTTGATTGCAACACTCCGAACATTCAGAAAATTCATTTCAAACAAATAAAACTGGCGCAACATCGATGGTCTTTGTTCAAGGCAACAGCTATATCGAACACGTACAAACGTATAGTTGATATAAGTCCTATCAGTTGAAATTATTGATTTCTTTCATTGAAAGAACAGACGATTTCAGTGTGAGCAGCTGGGAACGCGGTGCGGAACCTGGCGGAGCAGACCTCAACGACACGCTTATTTCTACGCGGCCTTCGATATACAGCTCGTCAGTGCGGAAAAACACAAGGTTAGCCCAAGAAATACGCCGAAGCGTAAGTGCCAGGCACTTAAGTGTTAGGGCGGCCCAATCTTGCGCAGTTGTGCGGGCGTCTGATTGCGACCACCGCGAACGACTGCTTGCTTGTACAATTGTTTGCGGTATTGAGGACGAATCGCGGAGAACTGCATTACGATTTCTCCACCGACGTATTTGTCGGTGTCGACGAAGTGAGAGAGCAGCTTTGAACAAGCAAGCGCAATTCACCTGATCGTTTAACCACGGGGAGCTCCCTCCCTGCGAGAAATTGTGCACATGGATACGGCGTGAACAGCATAGCGTTTCCTTATGCGTGGTGCTATCAACTACCCTTCAAGAACGTCCGCCGTGGAGATGTAGCGGTTAAGGTGCTCGACTGCCGACTCGTAAGTCGCGGGTTCAATTCCGGCAGCAGTGATCGCATTCAGGTAAAAGCGAACCGCTAAATGTCCGTGCACTGTGCGATACTAGGGCAGGAACCGACAACTGGCCAGAATGTGCGATTAAGTTCTGGTGAAATTGAGAAGAGCGTGAATCATAGTGGAAACTTCAAGCATTCTTCTCGCGAGCTAAACAGAATTTATATTTTGAAATTGTATTTTAAAGCAACAAAAACCAGTATATACTGGTGCTTAGTAGAATGCCTCGAAGCTTGATTACGAAGTCGATCACTTTGCTGTACGTAGTCTAGTAACATAGTTTCACGCTGCAATCGGCGTATTGGTTAGTCCTTAGTATTTGAGTATGTATACTATTGTCAAGCCTCGTTGAATTCTGTGCTATTTACGAAGTAAAAGGTGCTGCAGGGTGTGTAGAGGCGCTGCCTCCGCGGCCGCCAGCGGACTATAATCAAAGGCGCGCAGTGAGCGCCCTCAGTGATTTTTAGATGCGGAGCATCTTATACTCGCGCCTTGTAGTGCGCCGTCCGCGCCGTCCGCGCCGCTTCTCGAACATTCGACAGCTGACGCGCGCGCATGCGCCGTCGCGCCGTCGCCCACTCTTCCACCATCTGTGCATCCCTTCCTCCTCTACACACCGCGCGCGCTTCACTCCTCCACCATCTGTGCACCCTTCCTCCTCTACACACCGCGTTCGACATCTACAATTTTCCTGATTCTCCAGTGGACGCGCATGTGGCGTCGCGCTTCGAGAACATTCAACAGCTGACAGTGCATGCGCCGTCGTGCTGTATATATACTCTAGGTCGGCGCTCGCTCGCTCAGTTGCCGCTCGTCGGTTGGTTTGTACGGCGCGTCGACGTCCAAGGTCGCGGTGAAATGAATTCCAACGAATCCACAAACACAATGATCGACGTCCCTTCGACCAGCGCCGCCCTTTCGCATACGTGTGTACGTGTTCACTCATTTAACACCCCCTCCTACAACCACGTTAACCAATTTAGCCATCGACCCAAGTAAGTCGCAATTTAACACCCCATTTCACAACCACGTTAA